GAAAAGGGAAGAAGATAAGGAGAGGAAGCGAGAAGAAAACAGGGCCTACATAAGCGGCAGTGAGAGTGAATGGATCGATGCGGCCGTCTCGACGCAGCGGGCGCCATCGCCAAAACATCGTCGAGCCAAAATATCAACGTTCATCGATCTTTTGGATTAGAGCTGGTTCCGTAATTTGCCAAATTGTCGTGTCACTGAGCGCTCGATGAGCGCTTTTTTTAAATCGATCGGGTTTTTTTGATATCTGAGCGAGAAACATTTAGGCGTTGAACTTAAGCTTTAAGATTCGTTTAACTTGTTTTATCTGAAAGATGTAAGACGGAGATGTAGGAGGAACGAGTGTGAAATAAGTTCACACGAGATATATCTATCGAATGTATTTATCTAATGTGTTACGTCATTGATAGAAAAACACACGTTGGATGTCGATCGTGCGTCGGAGTGAAGACCTTAGAAGACGGTGCCCTGTCAGTTATCGCGATTATGAGCTATGCTTACTGCCAATTTATCTTGTGTCGCGATCACAATGCTATGCTTGCATACTCGAGGTTGTTGACCCAGCTAAGATGCCATATTTCCATGTGGTTTCTCACCGTTCACTTGTGTATTCGGCAACGTATGATAAAAAGCTATTATGCTCAACTTGACGTTACACTTTTAGTTACAAATGATAGTATTGCTCGTCCTTAATATTCATTGATTATTCGATACCGACTTATGTAGCATTATTTACGATTACTATGGTAATTTGATTTAACTCGTACGTCACTTAATAAGGATCTACGGGAATAAATTTGTAAACACTATCGATCATCCGTAAAAGTAGATTGTCTCGACGACGGAAGCTAAACGGGAGCAGTCTTTGTCTTTACGATATAATACCATTTTGTCGTGTCATAATACCACCGTATATATAATCAGAAAGTGTCACGAGAAACTTGGCGACATGCTCCCAACTAGAGATAATGGAATACTTTAAATATTGCCTCTCTGTGTTTTCCCTATTAATTAATCAAATAATTAAGAAAAATAACCAACGAGGCTCCGACAAGAGGCTAGAAGAAAGAAAACTTAGGAATAATTTGTGCGACGACCAGAGGGAGATTCTTGTTAGTAAGCTTGATTAAATCGGTCTATGCAACAACGACGCGCATAGAGTCGTGCACGCATGCAAAATAGCGCGAATCGTCGGATCCCTTTGATCTAGAAAGTTCGCGGGAACTCGAGTAGAAACATTCACTTTCGCGATTTCTACGCTAAAAATTTTCTCTCCACCCTTTTTTATTCATTGTCGCGCGAAACTGAAAAATTACAAGGTGCTACTACATAATCCAATACGTGTTGTATACGAAAATCTCTTTGGTAAAAATAAAAATTTTAAATCACGTTATGTTTTGCGTTATGTTTTCGTCCCGTAGAGGATCGAATCGACGAAGGCACAATGCTGATCGAAATGACAAAATAAAGTCCTCAAACAAATGACTCGAGGCGCAAAGATAACATTGTCCTCCTCGCCGATGACATAATCGACCAGTGTGTGCATGCAAATTGTGGTTATTCCTCGATGCGCGCACACGACACTGCCCACGGGAACTCGCGATTAATGCAACGCGATTGTTGCAAAACCGAAGAAAAAGGGTTTTACGTCGAAGATGCGTAATTCAATGGATAACGAATATGCGTGACGCAATCGTCTGAAATCACGATAATCTCGTATTTGTCTTCTTTCGATTGCAAAAATCCATGTACACGATTGCTTTTCTCTTGTAAAATCGTGCAAAGGGTGCAGAAAATAAACAGCCAGTGGGGAAAACAAAAGGGGTAGATTGAAAAGCCGCCTCGACTGGGGATATATAAGAAGTTGAGAACGGCGATCCAACAATGGTAACGAGGACACTGGCTTCTATTCAAAAGACTCGTTTTTCCCTAGATCAGCTGATCGACGAGAAATTGAAAAGAAACGAGGTTCCTATGATGAAAGTTTGGGAGTTATCTTTGAGAAGAGTATGTTATAAAAATAGTAGAGGCTTTGTGAAAGGTTGGCAAATCTTCTTGACAGATGAAATGTTTATGGCAAATTTCTCCTATGCAAATTTCTTTGTGAAAGGAGAGCGCACGAGCAAGATTTCGTGATGAGGGAACATCCTGATACCTTTCTGAGACGCTAACACTCGATTCGGCGTAGATCTGACCTAAAAATTAGCGTAAATTTCATGAAAGCAACTTACACGTTTCAGTACAGTCGAGCTCGCTCACTCGTTCTTAAGTAGCTCGCTCAGCGTTTTCGCGACTTGAGTGGCCACACGAGCCTTTCAGACACGAACTTTCAGAGAGCAGACATGGAGTAGGGTTGAGTTGAAAAAGAAAAAAAAATCTGTGCGAAGAGAATCGGTGGGAAAAAGTCGCTCGTAAGAGGGATTCCTTAACCACCCTTGATTTCCATCCACTTCTGGCTAATTGACTCGACTCCAGACCGCTTTCAGCCTTGAATTACTTTGAGCATAGAGGGAATGAGCTTTCCAAATTTCTTAGAAACTCTTCAGTCATCTTTCCCTTCTTTCACATGTGAAATGACAAGATTAAACTCAAGAATAAAGTTAAAAATTAAATTGTTTTCTCGCTTAATGTAGCAAAGAGAAAGAACAGGGTGAAAAAGATGGAACGGATGGAAAAAAATATTCCAATTATTAGAATTCTAAGGAAGTAAAGATTTATGTAATGATTTTATCGAAACTGAACAGAAAGCTTTGACTATAGATGCATAGGATAGCCGAAGCGTTGTGCATGAACGCTTCAGCAACGAAGAATTCGCGAATCTGGGACAGTTTGATCGATAATGGCGTAAACCTGGCCGCGGCAATTCCAGGAATGGCACCCTAATTGGATCCTTCTTAAATAAGTATTTCAATTTATCCACAATCTGCCGTTTTTTCAATGTACGCTGTTCTTTTGAAGAAAACATGTAAAAATATTATTTTAATTCTTCGAAAAGACGAAATTTATAAACTTATGATCGATTGATAAGATATAATTGAAAATAATAATCCTTATTATTAGCTGCCAACATTTTAAATAAAGATTTACTAACCGTGAAAATGAAAAATATCAATTGAGAATGAATTTCAATGATTTCATGGAAATGAAAAAGATTTGATGAAAAAAAATACAAATACAAAAAAAATTTCTGGATATTAAGACCGTGTAGAGAAATAGATAACGAATTTTACTTTGAAAAGTAATACCATATAGGGTTTGTTTGTCCGGACTCTATTTGGATTTCGCAAGCTACTCGTTCAAGGTTACACGTTGTCTGCAGCATTCATAGTGATGCACCAGCGTGCATTTTGCACCGAGGACAATCGATAAACCACGACAAAGGAATTAAATATCTGTTAATTAAATTCTGTATATATCAGAATCACAAAATTTTCACTTGTTAATATATTCATCCTTTATCTATTTTTTTTCATCTTCCATTGTTCAATATATTTATTTACAATTATTCTCTGCTTCATTTATGATTCAATCTTTTCATTTCTGTCGAAAAAATTTCAAATTTAATTAATTGGTAAATCTGAAAATTTTAATTTAAAAAATATCAATGTAAGATTTTATATACAACTTTACATTTGATTTTCATCGTAAAAATAGCTTTTATATAACTATAAAAATTTCTTCTTTTTTACCCCTCTTCTGATAACACACAATTACAAAAGTAATCAAACTATAACAGAAATAATTATAGCATCTTTTGGAAAAAAAATACTCAGAATTTGTAATCATTAATTCCAATTTAATTTAAAAGATGAAATTCATGCATATCTTCTAAATTTAATTCAAATTTTTTGATTTTTTATTCAAATTGCCTTATTTTTAATTGTATGTTTCAAATAAAAAAATACAATACAATTAGAAAAGAAAAAAAATTTTAACATCAATTATATTAAAGAAAATAACCTTGAATGACATATGTATTTAATAAAAGTAGCTTCAATAATCACGTGACGAATGTTGCTTCGCAGCACGTGCACATAACAACAAATCGAAAGGAGCAATGTTACGTCATCGATACACAGCAGGTACGCAATCGCGAAATTGGCTTTAATAGTAAAGACGGTGTTCAACTGGAGTTACGAGACAACAAGAAACCTTATGAACGAGAATTGTCCAATGTTCATTATATACACAAGCAATATTCAAAAAATCCAAATAGTGTACATGATGTATAATTATTAAAATCACATAAATAAATATTATAAATAAATTTAAAATGATATAATTTTATAATAAAGTTTATAATAAATTACCGGAATGCTAATTTCTATTGTCAAATATTTGATACCAATTAAATTATAAAAATTATTGTATAAATTTTAATTATTTAATATCTTGTTTTTTTTCTGCTTTTTTTTTTATGATGAATAAAACTTCATTTTTAGACTACACGACATCGTAAAAAATGATTATTTTAGGAATACGATGTAAGAAACGAATTAATAGAAAATATAATATTTTATATTATATATATAATTTTTTCATATTATATGATTAAATGGGTAATCTCCTTGATTGTTTTGTAAAATTTTATAATAAATATTAAAATTTAATTTATAATGTATGAAATTATAATTAATTATAACAAGATTATTTTATAGATACCGATAGTCATAAATACTGATTTTTGGAAATTTTTTCTTTTAAATATACATGCTGTATAAATAGATATAATCAGTATAATGTATACAGAAAAAGGAAAATGTAAAGATTAAATCATATAGATATATATTATGATGAACTATGTATCAGAATATTTTCTAAATATCAAATGTCAAATATTGAAAAATTATTGATAACTCAGTTTTAATTTTTTGAATCAAAATAATGCTTTCGCAAAAATGTTTTCACACGTGCGTACGCACACTCCAAATCAGAACACGATATCAATCAATAACATGCATGAATTAATAAAAAATAAGGGATAAAATTGACAGATGACATACCGTAGTTGCTTCCTCGAAGAAATCGACACTTTCTTGCAGTAATTTTCTTCAAATTCAGTCTATTATAATTGCAGCACAAAAAGATGCACAAAATTATCACTCGCGTCATTCACGGGTATTGTTTTTCTTTAGCATATTTGTCACGAATGTTTTTGATTTTACACGTCAAAATGTAAAACGTGAAATCAAAAAAAAAAACAGCAAAAACACCGCGAACCGGCTAATGTAACCAACAACCGCACCTCCGAAGCTTGCAACAGCAAACTGGCTTGTCTCGTGCAGCAAACTTTCATGTAAGGGCGCAGCACGCGCTTCTATTGGTAGGCAGTTGCGTGGCTAAGCCAATCGCGATCGATCGTTCACCGAACATTGACCCCCCCCTCCCTAAATATATCATAACATATTTCTGTTTGGTACCACATTCAGAACAGAAAGCTAATGTACAATATGTGAAAAACAAAAATTTTGAACGCGTAATTAAAGCTAACTGTAAAACTCAGTTAATTAAACTTTTCTTCTTAATTTTACTAAGTATATAATTATAGTTGAACTATGAAGACAGTGCCACGATTAAGCATATTAATTGAGAGCGCATGCGTCCACGTGGATCACCATGGTTACGGTAAGTCTGAGAGAAAACGCGCGTATTTTTTTTAATAATATCAATTATAAATTTAACAAAATAAATATTAGATTTAATCATAAATATAAGTTTTTTTGATTATTTTATACATGTTAAAGTATAACTTACATGTTTAATATATTTATATATTTTTCATTTTAGTTCGTATTATGTACATCGAGTTATTGACGGGTTATTTTAAATATTATAAAGAATTAAATAAAACGTAGAATTTTCACTTACTTGGCAGACGATGAACTCGAAATAAGAAAAATATTTCTGACAATGAAATATATCGCCATGATCATTAAATCGGTGAAAGTACTTCACATAGCCGCTATTCACGACAAATTTTTCATAAAATCCAAATTTTTTCCTACGATAGCAACTCTTCCATAAACAGTCTGATAATAAAATTTCTCCGTAATAATTTTGGAAGTTATAAACGGTATCTTCCGATTCGTATGGACGGACAATGTCGGTTAAACTTGGGACTATCTTGTTCAAAACTGACATGATACGAACAATGACGACTTGTGATCACTGCTTTATTTTCACCCATTTTATTAACGTACATCTATGATATCGTTACGAAATATTTCATCAATGGGTGAAAAAATTCTGTGTTGAAGAATTAAAATAAATTATAAATTTTGAGTACAAATTTCACGCTATCGTACACTATAGTATTATTAATCATATAGTTTGATATGAAGTAATTAAAACAATAAAATTATCGATTAATTACGCATAATTTGAAGTAACGCGTACTTCACAATTTATTTGCACATAAAATAAAAATTTGTTAAAATATATGACACTCGTTTAATTTTTTACAAACGTTTTTTTTTTTAATCCTTGTATATAAAAATGAATGTTTTGATTTATTTAATTTACACATGTTATTAAATGTTCATATAATAAGACTACTATTATGGGAAAAAATTTTAAAATTGCAGAAAACTTTAAATTTTTAAATCCTTCATTAAAAAGTATACATCAAAATTTATCAATTAATTGCAATATGTGTTGTTGCTCTGCTTCTCTCCATTCTGAATCTCCAGCATCGCCAAGATTTCCTGCATATTCTAATAAAAAATAGTAAAATTAAACATATATAACAGTTAAAAATTATGATAAAAGAACATACCTCGCATAATATGTCTTATTGTTTTGAGGGATGCCCTCCTTTGAGCTAAAATTCGTGTAACTCGTTGTTTTACTGCTGGTGGACAACCAGTACATGCTTCTAACAAAACATAATCTACCAATTGTAAAATAAATAATCCACTATCCAATCTTCTTAAATATGATTCTTCTTCATCTTCATCTTCCTATAATTGCAATATAATTAAACATATTGTAATTAATATATTTATATATGTTTACTTTAAAGTTACTACTTTAAAAAAAATATTAATTTAAAAATTTATATTTTCCTTTTTCTAACCTTTGTATTTTTTTCAACTTCCTCTACTTTTTCAAGATATTTAAAATGAAGCTCCATTAATCTATCTACTTTTTCGTAATCATTTTCCGTGAATTTACTCAACAACCTTTGGCGTTGTTGTCCTTTACAGTTCCTTAGCATACTTGCTATAATTGATATTACATGTTCTACAATGACAATAAATATATATAATTTGTAAAAATAACATAAAAACTATCTTCTTTTTTTATTACCTTCATGTTCTTCTGCAGTAAGCATTCTCTTTCTATTTTTTGTTGGCGTTTTCATGAATAAAGGAATATTGTTCTTAATCCAAGAATATCAACAAATTTACTGCAATTATCTTTTCCATCTGGTCCATTCATTGCATGATCTAATACCTGGAACATATTATTTAAATTATTTAATAAAACTAACTACATAAAATGTACTACTACATAAAAATTCTAATTTAATAATTACTTTAAGAGAACCATTCCTAGACATTTTTTTTTCTCGCAACATTAAATTCATAAGTTGCAATCCTTCTCCTCTTAAAAATCTATCTCTGTTTACAGTTGCCATGAGACTTGAACATAATACATTAAATAAATTTTCCATCATTTCTTGCTCTTCTGCCGTTTGAGGATCATGTCTTTTATAGTACTAACAGAACAAAATTTAATTAAAAAACGACATGAAAAAGTAAAAATGTACTATATATATATATATAATAATATAATAAATATATATATATAATAAACATATATATATATATATATATATATATATATATATATTAGTTTAATTAC